CATTATAGGCACATTGATTGGCACCTGTGCAGGTATGAACGCAACAAAGATCAACGTTATGGAACAAACCATCGAGTAAGCCCAATCGGAGAGGTTCGTCTAATGCATTTGCATGACTGTCACATCCCATTCATTGCGTATCTTGCTGAAGCCATAGAGCAGTCTTCCGTCTGCACATGCGGCAGCCCATCGAGAGCTTTACGACACGCCTTTGGTCGCATCGCTAGAAGAAAAAAAACCGCGACGAAGCTCTTGGTCCCAGGCCGTCGATAAAATCGCGCCTAAATGGATATCACAGATAGAAGAACTATTTCGCTGAGATATGACAGCCAGAAACAAGTCTCGCTGCGTAGCAAAAAATCTTTGACGCCATCGTCGAGAGTTGGAAATGTTGGCGTTTGGCGTTCGCAGTCACGGTGGCGTTCAAGTTCATCTCAGATCCGACTGGACGTCCACATTCGATGAGCCCTGCGGTATCCACCCACCCCCAGCTTGTCCCTGAGAATATTCACATGATTTTGACGAGACTCGATTGTATAGTCCGAATTCAGTAAATCATGGCAAGTTCAACAGTATGCACTTGACCCGGGACTCTCGCTGCTCCAGCATATCAATCCGCATACTTTTAAACTTCTGATGTACAGGTCGCTGAAAAACCGTCACAGCACGGCACAGGCACCCAGTTCACATACAAATTCGAGTCGGAGCGTTCGAGCCACTGGTAGCATGTTACACTGGCAGCACAAGCGATCTAACCCAAAGAAGGTCGTAAGCATTGCGTCGCCTTCACACACAACCTTTCCGACGACCCACCTCAAAAATCTGGGGATATATTGTTTGACGCCAGTGGGTCCTTCACCACACACCTTCTTCGCGTTCTCAATGAGATAAAGTTGCTCCATATGCTTTAGCGCCGTCTTAACCCATTTAATTGTGTCGGCGTCGATGCCATTGCTCCGCATGGTCTCCAACTTCAACTCGACCAACGAAATCGACTTCTTCACTTGGCTAACAAAGGTCCCAGATAGGGAGAGCCAAGCAAGATCAGCTCCCCGACCTTCGTGGTCACTTCCGCTAATACCGCATCCATGTCCGCGACACTCTGTTTCAGCTGTGCCATTGCCATCTCCGGCTTTTCCCTCGCCACCATCGCCTCATCGTACTTCATCTTCGCATCTTCGTCGATTGTGGCCTGCTCGTCCTCCGTGAGTTTCCAAATGACATTGTAATGGCGGTGCTGTATGTCTTTGATACCTATGACTAATTCGCGCGCCTTCTTTTTCTTTGCTTCTTCGACGAGATCAAGCTTCTCCATACGCTTCAGTGCCTTCTCAGCCGAATTGAATTGTGTCAGTGCCTCATTGGCTCATAGGCTCAGGTGGTGAGTATCGCCGGGAAAGTAATGCTTGTTGGATCCACTACCCGTTCAAGTTGGAGCGTTCTGAAAAAGCAGCATACACCTGGATGCTACAAGGTCATCGAGTGACAAACTCAACCATAAATCGCGACCTGTGAGGGTGCTCCTTGAAATGACTCATTCGACCGACTGTGATACACCTATTGTACAACAAATTCGCTTCAAGTACACGAAACGATCCAAGAAAAATTCTCATGTGGCAAGGCGCAGCGCCTGCTGTCGTCTGCATAAGCGAAGTTGGACTGAGCACTGGATAGATGATCTAGTGGAGACGGCTTACCGATCAGGTATCAGTCAGTGGGCTCCCAGTTGGTGAGCTCGACGTCAACGTGGTACGAGTCCACATTCTTATACACCCCTTGCTTCGGAAGGTCCTCCGTCTCGCCGTTCGTGTACACCACCTTCTCCCTGTACGAGAACCCAACGTCGAGGAAGGCATTCCTCACGATGACCGTAGCTTGCGCCTTCTTACGCGGGGGTACAGTGACACTGGTCGACTCAGACACCGTCTTCTGGACTTCAACAGACCCACCCCACTCATGAGTGTACGCCGCAGAAACAGAGACTTCCCACTCGACGCTGGCGACGAAGGGTACCCCGGCTTGAAAGGTCGCCGATACTCCGAGCGTGATCCCAGCAGAGTTGTTCCACGTTCCAACCTCGGACTTCACGTAGGAGAACCCGAGTTCTTGAGTCACTGTGGAGTCAGAGTCGTTGCGAACGGAGGTGCTAAGAACGATAATGGGAGGCGCCTGGCGCACTTGGGCTCCGGAGATGTCATACGTTACGTCGTAGATCTCATTCTTGATAGACGCCTGGACGACATCAAAGCGGGAGGATGCTTTGATGAAGTCCCAGTAGAGAGGGGAACCGCTGTCGCTTAGGTCGCTCGAAATGTAGTATCCGGTGGGGGTGATATTGTCAGTCAGATAAATCGAACTGTTGGCAGTGTGAATGAATCGGAATGAGAAGTATGTACTGTCCGCGTCGTCGCAGGAAAGCCAGCCGGAATAGTAGCGGGTCCAATATTTCCCATTGTTGCCCTGGAATTGATACCATCCGCTGCCTTTGGGGACGGCTTGGAACATGCAGTCACGATCGGCATCACCGCCGCGGAAAGTCAGAGTGCCGTACGTCGGACCCGACCGCACGCTCAAGTAGCGTCCGTCCTTGTCACGAATATATAGCCACTTCGGGAGCAAATATGTGGGCTCGTCACCTTCTACTCTGGTGGTCAGTGCCAGTTCAGCAGATACGGCAATTGCGTGTTCTACTCACCTCGGGGGAAGTTGGGAGCCGGCGGAGCTGTAAGAACGACCTCCTTTTCGCCAGACTTGACGACTACACTATAAGTGGCCGGAGCCCCAGATTTCGCTGTACAGGTTAATCAAATTGGAATCTTGTGAACATGAAATGGTTTTACTGAGCGCACCATTATTCGTCGACATCGTAGACTGAATGGTCAGGAGCGTTGAGATTGTGCTGAGACTGTAGAAAGCCGGAATGCTCGTGTTTGAGTCAATGCAGCGTACACTGGCAGCTTTATAGATTGTCCGTGAGAGCCTCCTCTCTGACTAATCTGCGCAGAGTGAATAGGCAATAAAACGGCTCTGCGGTATGACCAGCTGAACACGGGGAATCAAAG